GAGGTCAAGAGATTGAGACCGTCCTGACCAACATGGTGAAACCCCGTCTCCACTAAAAATACAAAAATTAGCCAGGTATAGTGGTGCGAGACCGTAGTCCCAGCTACTCGGGAGGCTGAGGCAGGGAAATTGCTTGAACTCGGGAGGCGAAGATTGCAGTGAGCCAAGATCATGCCACTGCACTCCAGCCTGGCAACAGAGCAAGACTCCGTCTTAAAACAACAACAACAACAAATTATCAAGAAAGCAATCTGGAGAAGACTCGTTTGTCTTTGGCATATCTTTGAATATATGTGTATTTTATTCCAGAAAAGTATGATGAGGGTGATGTGAGGAAAATTATACATCAAGCTGAGGGTGATGTAATCATGCTGTCCAGCAGATAGATGGAAATGTAGTTGTTTAATCTTCAGATGTGATGTGTACTGTGCCATTTAGGCATTTATTTTTTTTATTCATCCATCCATCTGGTTAATCACGCTCAGATACATAGCTAGTTGAGAATCCAAATGTAGTATATGTAGTATTGATGGAGCACAAAATTTCTTTTTTTTTTTTTTGAGATGGAATTTTGCTCTGTCACCAGGCTGGAGTGCAGTGGCATGATCTTGGCTTACTGCAACCTCTGCCTCCTGGGTTCAACTGATTCTCCTGCCTCAGCCTCCCAAGTAGCTGGTACTACAGGCACCCGCCACCATACTGGGCTAATTTTTTGTATTTAGTAGAGACGGAGTTTCACTATGTTGGCCAAGCTGGTCTCGAACTCCTGACCACAGGCAATCCACCTGCCTCAGCCTCCAAAAATGCTGGGATTATAGGCATGAGCCACCGCACCCGGGCTTCTTTCTGATTCTTAGTTTAACTCTCTGTGAAATGGGAATAATTAGAGTTTTCTCTGGCTCATGCTTCTTATGGTCATATAATGGTGATGTAAATATTTTCTATGGCTTCTGTATTTATTTATTTATTCTGAGATGGAGTTTTGCTCTCATTGCCTAGGCTGAAGTGCAATAGTGTGATCTCGGCTCACTGAAAACCTCTGCCTCCTGGGTTCAAGCGATTCTCCTGCCCCAGTCTCCTGAATAGCTGGGATTACAGGCACCTGCCACCATGCCCAGCTACTTTTTTTGTATTTTTAGTAGAAACGGGGTTTCACCATGTTGGCCAGGCTGGTCTCGGCCTTCTGACGTCAGGTGATACACCCACCTTGGCCTCCCAAAGTGCAGGGATTACAGGCATGACCCACTGCATCTGGGCTGGTTTCTCTACTTAAATCTGAAGGATTTCCATAATGCAAAATTTTATAGTTATTTTTATTTTTTCTGGCACAGTTTACTTATGTTTTTCTTTTCTTTTTTTTAGTTATAGGTAAACATTGGAAACTCCATAGAATAAATCAGTATTTCTACAGAAAAATGGCAGAGAAATCAGTATTGAATGTATTAAATTGGCTTTCTTCTTCAGGAAAAACTAGACCAGACTTCTGTTATCTTGGGTGATACCATCCTACAAGCAAACTAATCTGAAACCCTTTCACCTAGAGATAATGTACAAGCCTTAGAACTCCTCGTTCTCATGTTGCTATTTATGTACATAATTAAAACCCAAGTTAAAAAAAAGTTGTCCGATATCATTGAGTGACGGTCTAAGTGTATCTGGTGCCTGTGTGTATGGTATGTATGGTGTGTGTGTATGCATGGGTTGTGTGTGTGGTGTAGTGGTATGCATGATGTATGTGTGTTAAAGACAGCAGGTAACTCTTCTTAGGGAACTATCAGCTTGCAGCCTGCAGAGTCTGGGCCCCACAACACAGAGTAGAGAAGAGTAGCTCTGGAGTCAGAGAGATGCTTCAGTAACCAGCACAAGGAACAAAACTTGTAAGTAATACAGTTTGCCTGACAATGATTAGAAGACATACAAAACAGTAACAGTGATCCCTTATTGTGGCTGTCACTTCCTAGTCTGTACAGAACTTGCAATTCTTGAATGCCAGTGGGAGATTCAGAATGAAGAAGTCTATGTCCTCTGCCAGTGGATGAATGGGGATGTGGTGTGTTTTTGGGTTCTCTGTATGTGTGGCTTGTGTTTTCCTCCTCTGTGGCCCCTGAATGCACAGCTCATTGAACTCTGGATTCCCACTGCAGGAGCCTCTCTTGGCTTAGCCAGCCAGGAAGGATGGCAGGGGAACTAAATGTGAAAGAGAATTTAGAATTTCCAGATTTCAATTAGATTTGGGAACTCATCTTCCTTGTATATTTGTATCATCAATTTAATTCCTAATTGTTGACCTTCCAGAACTGATAGCAGTCGGTTAGATAGCAATACACAGATGGACATACACATATTCATGTCATATATATTTAAGAGAGCCAAAATGGCAGGAACAGTGCCAGCATTGTTACTGGATTAATGAGCTGAAGCAAATTTGTCCCTAGAATGATCTTTGTAGTCACCCAGATGTCTTTTATTTCCTTTTATGCCAAAGTACTTTTGTGTTACTGTGTCAGTCACCCAAATATATGAAACCCATACTTATATCTCATTATAAAAATGCTATTATTTCAGACTTTGTTCATTTGGCTTGGCCTCCGACGTCATCCCTGGAAAGTAGCAATTTCATGAGTTTCTTCCTTGTGATTACCTGATCTAGCAAAGATTAAGAAGAAATGGCCTACAAGTCAGCATGCTCAGGTCATTAATCAATAGATATTTGAGTGCCTCTTATCTGTAAGATATTACCTCCCATTTTCAGTTCTTTACTCAGTATTGAAACATTGCTTTAAAACATTTTAGGCCAGGCGCAGTAGCTCACACCTATAATCCTAGCACTTTGGGAGGCCAAGGCAGGTGAATCACTTAAGGCTGGGAGTTTGAGACCAGCCTGGCCAACGTGGTGAAACCCTGTCTCTTC